CCTACGGTCATCAAAAATCGCACTCTTTGTTTGCTAAGCCACAAAAGGCACCACTGGGCGGAATATAAACGAACTGTTAACAACATCACATACAGGTAATTCAAACAAACAAGAAACTAATGCACAAGGACAATAAGAGAAGAAAGGCCTCAGTATCGGAAAAAGTTTATCGATAAATTTGTCTCCAATGAGAAAAGCTTATTCCGTCGTACAGCCTTTCTCCGACGAACGAAAATGGGAATTTCCTAAATGCATGATTCTCAGGAGTGGACCTGAGAACTCACTTGGTGCAACAGAACCTTCAGCATTTAAACAAGGACACTTCTCTCGATCCGTATATAGTCCATCGTGCTGCACTGAGGGAAGCAGCTTTAATCTTGGTGACACCGCTCTCACACTCGCCAAGCCAAAGGACGTTATCAAAGCATTGGAGATTAGCTCAAATCATACCAATTTTCAAAGGAGGTCGACACAGAGAACTTCAAGCTACCAGACGGCAAAGCTCTCAATACCCTAAAACAATGTAGTCCCTGATACGCGGCGGTTCATGTGACTACTTACTATCCATAAACTTCTATTCACCCTAACAGCACGGTTGCAGAAAGGGTTACTCATGTAGAGCCAACTTGCTGACCAACCCTGATCTCAAGGGAAAGGTTGATGTCCTATATCTTGACCTCTTAAAGGCTTTAAATAAATTCGTTTATATATGTCATATCAATAAACTCGAACGAATGGGAATCAAACTACCATTAGTTGATTGACATACTTCATATTCAAGTAATCAGCTTTTTAATGTCAGGGTTAACTTCACTTTCTCGTCGTGGAATGTCCTAGTTAGGTCTCCCATGGTTCAGCACTTGGATCTCTTCTATTCTTAACTTATATAAACAATCTTTCAGAGCAAGTATAGTCAGTTACTACTTTTCGCTGATTATGTAAAACTCTAGAGAGAAGTTTCCAACCACTAGGATAAACTGGCACTTCCGCAGGATCTGACTCAACTGTGCAGACGACAACGGACTTACCTTTATCGCTTCAAAGTGTAAAGTAGCACATCTGAGTCATGTTACAGAATGCAAATACAACTCAGGTAACTCCACTGTAGAGGTATCTCAAGTTGAAAAAGATTTAGAAGTGTTGATACCCTGTGATCTGATGTGTTACTCTAAATGCGACAAAGGTGAGTTTCAAGGAAACTTTGGTAGTATCCGGAAATTAAAGACACGACATAGAAGAATCAACTGTAGGTACGTCTTTTACTATTCACGAGCAGTCAAATTATGGAACACTCTCCTGACTAAGGTAGTTCAATCAGATTGTTGGGAGTACTTTAGAAGTGACATATTCTTAAGAAATAAAGGGAAAACATGCCAAGGTTATTATTTGGAGGCATCTGTGATTCACTGCTGCTAAATACGAAGTCCTGTCAAGCGAAGTTTATTCTATTCCATCGAGAAACATTCGAACCATTTATTAACCAATCAGAACACAAACATCGATCTGGCGCAGTTTTCAACTGTCTATTGTTCGGGTTGATGTTTGTTGTTACAGCTAATATCTCGGAGTTTAGATAACTACATATTACTTAAGAATTAAAAGATATTTATCCGAAAATTAATCTGTAATCATTAATTTTCAAAAGTTGACATTCACTTACAATGAAAGCAAACAATTATTTACATTACTTGAGAATTTTCATATCTTTCAGCGTTTATTTCCAGAGGTTAATGTACATCTTAAACCACGACTCGTATTAAGTTATTTGTGTATGGAATTCGGGACTTACACTAATCACCTTGTACAGATGTGACATGAAGTTATAGTACGTACTAAAGTCACCAACCGGTATAATGTACATCATACCGGTTGGTGACCTCAACCATAGTGGATTTTCGTTTCTTTTGGTCCTTGTCATGGATGCCTGTCAAGTTATGTGTCGAAGTGTCTTCATTTTAGTATTTAACACGGCTTCATCAGCCTGGTCACGTTCTACATGTTCTATTTTAATGTTCTCCACACTGCTCGTCACTAACCGGTTGGAAAAATAGAAAGCTAGTTGCTTGGCTGCACATAGTGAAGGGTGGCTGTGTTCGATTATTACCTAATGGTTCACCGTAACTACCTAAATCAGGTCTAACGATCGTACAACTCCAATAGGATATATGCTTTGCCCAGTGGGAATTTTCTTGTTGTATTTCTGTCTAGTGATAGGAACTTCTAACAATAAAATGCATATTGGTTGTGAGCTCACTGAAAATATCTATCTTTACATTTTTACCTTTATATTGGTTGTGTGATTTATTTTCCAATTCTTCGTAATATTATTATGTCACATATAGTACATGTAGTGGTGCCTATCGATACCAAGGTTTTCTTTGGGCATTAATAATAGTGGATAAAAGGCCAATGATGACCTTTTATGGGGCTTCTATTCATTCCACCTCACTGACAAGTCACTCAGCTTCCGACCACTATTTCGAAGGTCTAAACATCGCTTCACTTTCTCATATGTATTAGTTTAATGTTGGTTTACGAAACAAAGTGGATAAATAGCTTATTTTCGGTGCTTCGGAAGATCAAATGGTGGTCAGCAAATTTTGAGAGGTACTGTTGTAAGCGTTTTTTTTACCAAACTAAACAAAAAAGGTATTGCACTTAGTTCTAAAACTTTTCGATACAATCATTAAGATCATGTAAATACGTACATTCAGTTCAAAAAAACCGTAGTAGTTTTATATTATGTGTAGTACCGCATTGTGATATGGAACTAGAACGTTTCAAATCAAATATAGTTATTGCCAATATAGGAAAAACAGCTTTCTGACGAATAAACACTAGGAAATCATTAATACACTGACAAATTCTAAACATTTTTCTACTTTAAAAGTGAATAAAGAGCCAGAATTTGTTTCCGAGAAAAAATTTTTTTAGGAACTGACTAACCAAAATGATCTTACTGACGATATAAAATCTTCAGGGATGCTCGAAGATTAATATATGATTTTGTCAAACTCGTACGAAACAATTAGGGCGATGGAAACTCATTTGTCAAGGTTATATGAGTTGTCAAATGTCCATCGAGACCAACAGATATGTATAATTTCTCTTATACTATTACGAATGGGTTGTTAACTACTTTGAAACCCCTTTACACGAAGATTGTGAAGCAGTGCTAACTATATCTTCCAAATTGTCAACAAGAGCAAACGTGTACACACTTCAAAACAAAGACAGAGTCTCTAGATGTAACATCATAATTCTTAATTGTTCCGACCATGGTGACCGTCGAATATATATGTCGGTAACTCGGAAGAAATAAAACAAAGGAATTTCGTTTGACATAAGTGTTATTACTTTATCACAATATTTAATTTGTAACGGCAAAATCTACAAACAAAGGATTGGCCTCAATGAGTTTACCATCAAGTCTATGTTAGCTGACGCATTTTCAGTTAAACTTGTAAACGGTCCACTTTATAAGTTTACTCATGAGTTCAAGCTTTACTGTCATATGGTGGATACAGTTATCCTTTATAAAAATAGTACTAGAGGTCATAGGCAATCTGATGAAGTATACTCTGTCACTGAGTTCGCATGTGATGACCGTTAAGGTAGGATGTTTTGCTAGCGAAACGAGCTGATAAATGGATAAGGAATTCAAACAAGAAAATGCTTGGGTCGTGGGGAATACACATTTCTCCAGCCTTGTGTTTCTGCAGTACGAATCAAACTTAGTAAGACCACTTATTTACAACATAGCAGCCTTATTCTCTACTCATACTATCAAAGAAAATCTGAAAGCCGTGCATAATACTGAGAAAAAAATTAATAATGTGGGATATTTACAAACAAATATCTTGTTACAAATTTTGTAAAGCAGATATTTAGACTCCTAATAAGAAATCTCTACAATCCAGAGGTTGTGCTGCCAGTAAAGTAATAATCCCAAAATTACCCAGAATAGTGGAAAGAGTGTTAAGCAACAAGTTCTCCGTGCTTATGATAATGTCACATACTTAAGGGCTGATTAACCAAACTACTAAGCTCTTTGTATTTATCTATTCGACTACTGTGGAGCAAGTCACACTCACCGACGATTCATGGATTCACATTTTCTTGCTCCTTAATCCCTCCATTATGGGTAAGCGAAATAGTAAAACCGTAAATAGATCAATCCCGCCCTATTTAGTTCAGACGAATCATACAGCCAGGATAAATCCGTCGTGTTAGTAATCACCTTCCAAGGCCTGTCAAATGGTAGAAGCAATGGCTATCGTAATCGATATACTGGGGCTTAATGTATATCATAAGTATCTCCAGCCTCTTACTATACTTTGTATTGAATTAACACTATCACTCAATTCATATCATTTTACACACTACTTAATCTTCGACGAAACCCTTTCTGTAATTTTCAGTCACATTATTTTTTCTTCACTGTACCCATATTTATTCTGATTATTAGTTTCACAATTTGAGTTGATTTATAGATTTATTTATTACCTACTGGTTACAAAATAAGCAATGTTCTTGTAACAATCCTAAATCCATGCGCTATAATTTCAAAGAACATGTTCGCTGTAAACGGGCTTCTTTTGTTGGTTCATTAATTTGGTCTTACTACCGTAAAACATGAGAATATATTGGAAAAAACTCTTCGTCCGCATGTATTTTTTTATAATGGTAAATTTGCGATGAGTTGACATTTCTTTAAGATTGTAATGTTTTTTGATTTCAGGCATCTCAAGATTGGCATCGTGATGCAGCCATTTTGGCTCGCCTCATTAAAGATAACAAAGGGAGTATTGTCATTTATACTGGTGCTGGCATAAGTACATCGGCGTGCATCCCAGATTATAGAGGGACAAACGGTTTGTGGACTGTGCAGTCAAATCGCGTAACAGGCGTTAATTCAGGTATCACGTTATGATCAGATTATTAGTTTAGTGCTACGTACCGTTGGTTATAACAAAAATGATCAAGCGAACTATACCGAGATGTTGAAACTACAGGTATAATACAAAATATCTGCACTTTATTTATTAGGGTAAAATACGTCAATGTGAATCACGGATTAAAACTCCTAAAAAGTCAAAAAACACCAACTTAAAGTTACGACTTCCAGAAGCAACCATTGCAAAACCAACATTCACTCATATGGCTATCAAAGTTTTGGTAGATGAAGGATATGTACGTACCAACTTAATAGTATAAATTTGAGTTTCTTTTAAACTTGTTCTTGAATCCAATGTAATTGCCTTTGATTCAATAAAATTGTCTTAACTGTAGGATCTTTAATAAGCTGTCACTTTACTATAAACACTTAAACTGATGAATTTATACTAACTATGATAAAGAGATTCACTGTAGATAGCGTTCTTGAAGAATGTGTATCAACTGATATACCCTAAGGGGATGGCTGCAATTATATAAAAGTATTTACTTGAGATGTATGTTAATTCAGAAAATATTCGTAGCACAAGGTTTTGTTGTATAAGGATTTCCGTTCTCACTAGTTGATTTACTATCGTTCAAATAAAATCAAGTTGTTTTCACACTTTTTAGTTGAAATTATAGGTTTTAGTGAAATGTTCACTATGTGGTTTAAAGTTGGGCTAAAATGTTATAATAAAAGCTCTCTTGTAGAGACTTTGTTTCCCTAAAATGATTGTTGTTGCAGCTGTTACCTGAAAATTTCTGTCAGCCTAAGATGTGCAGCATTACTCTGATATGACATCTTAGTTTGCTGTTCTGTTTGATATAAGCTGTTGTTGAAAGCTACGATGTGCAGTTGACTGTAATGTTTGAAATACGCAGGGTGTTATCTTGATGGTAGAAATAATCAGCAGTGGTCGCATAAAAAGCAGGTTGTATGGTCGGTACTTTTACACTGAAGGAGGTTAAGTGAATAGTTTAAATTCCATCGGGTTTTACATGTTTACCCATGAGAAGAGAAAGCTATGGATCAGCCAAATGTACTGTTTTATAGTGTGATCGTTGAACTTTCGGTATTAAAAGGCAGCACCCATGTAATTCCCATCTGTGTGGCGCATATATATTGGTGCTCTCTTGTACCAGTTTTCATGTGTTCAAATAAATAAATAAATAGTTTGCCATCATATCTATATTCACCTAGCAAAATGACTTTGTCATCAACATCTGTTCAACCCCTCTAGCATGGTGAACTTCATAGATAGACGTTTCAAACAGCCTGATTTGACTGTTACTGCAATTAACACATGTACGCAAGACGAGGCTTTTTTCTTATCTCAAAATCCTCTTCAGCATTTCTCTATTCTTTTGTGTCAGTGATCATTATGCTACTTAACTGTAAAGGTATTTATCAGTCTAAATGCTCCCAAGACTAAATTCGTACCTAGGGTTTGTCACTAGCTGTATAAATGTTTCAGCAAACAATAAAATGTGGAATTAACTTTTTTGTTTCTTCATCTGAACTTCACTTACTGTTGACATTAGCAGTCATATTGAACTGATTGACTAATTGATAAGTTGATGATTAACAAAAACGTCTCTGTATAATCTCAGGTTCGACATGTCGTTTCTCAAAATGTTGATGGCTTACATGTGCGCAGTGGTTTAAATCGTGAAAAACTTTCGGAGCTACATGGTAATTTATTCATTGAAGTGAGTGCACTTGTACTAATGTATAAACCAATTTATTTTTGAACAGACTATTTTATATGTCTGTCTCTGGTGCTAAAATCGACTGTTTTGTGTTTCGACACTCGAATTTTGAATCAAAGTACAAAGTACCCACTGAGGTTTAAACTGCTAGTTATTATCAATATTAATCATTACAAAATAAAGGTGGCTTATTGCCTTATCCATAAATATCTATTGGGGTGTTTAATTAGGTTTCTTAATTTCAAGTCTCTTGATAGGAAAAGTTAATAAACTGCAAACAGATAAATGTTCATTCCACGAAGAACCATTTTCGACCCACTCAAAAGTTAAACACATCGATAATGATAGTTTTCAATCTCAATGATAAAACCTTTTGTGCTATGTAGAGTTTACCATTTAATCGCAAATTACATAGCATCAGTCCACCAGTACTCACAGAAGGCTGTTTTTAGGTAGTTGTTAGAATAAAATTCCTCAATCATGTATTAATTAGAGTAGGGAGTTGTACTTGTCACTTGAAGTCGAAATGAGGCATTACTAGTATAAATAGGTCGCCTATACTGTCTTCAAAAATTTGGGAAGATGTAGTTACTTTTGCAAGTATGTGTCTAACCAATACTCAGTAACTGAATAGAGGTTCATATTTTAAGATATGAATTACATCTTACAATAATTGATCACTTAATCGTAATATGTGAGTCTACAGTTAGAATTTAAATACATAGACAAGTGAATTAAAATACGGTACTTCTGGTTTTTGCATATATATCGCTGCCTTTCTTCTGTGTGAGTTTTTTAAATTATTTAATCCTTCGTCTAATTATTTATATGGTGTGTTTTGTGAAACAAATGAATAAAGTGCTTTGTAGTATAAATCATACTTTGCCTTAATATTTTTTATTGTAGCAATGCATCGCTTGTGAACACACTGTTTTTCGGACTTTTGACGTTGCCGAAACAACTTCTCGTTCACACCATTATACTGGACGCATTTGTCCTCGGTGTCGTAATTTACACCCTGTTGAAAGTACAATAGCCAGTGATATACTAAAGAAAACAGCCGAACATTTGGCAGTATCTAAATACAAGAAAAATGTATCAAATGAAAATCTTATGTTGAGTTACCGATATGCTGCAAGAAAATTAGCCAAATCTTTTGAAGGTGTACGTCTTAAAGCAGTGGAACATTTACGCAATACTCAAAAGTCTGAGATGCTGACGGACTCAGTTCTTACGAAGGCACCTTTACTAAGAGATGTTGTTGTACACTTTTTTGAACGACAACCAGAGATGGGGTTAACAGAAATATATCGCATTCGATCAGCGATCGAAGCTGTACATGGCCGTAAAGTTCTTCAAGATGCTGTCAATGCCACTTCGAATGACCGTAAACCTTTGAATCATGGATGCAAACGTTCCCACGAAGAGTCAACAAAATATCTCATTGGATCCCCATGGTTTAAAAGAATGCGTCCTGCTATGAAGATGGAATGTCAGGATTTTTGTAAAACATCAGAGGCAGTTGATTTAAAACCTATCTCTCCAGATTCTCTGGATACTCCTGCTAAATTAATTGTTGTTGTTGGTTCATCTTTAACTGTTTTGCGCAATTATTCATTTTTATGGCCTTATGGCCTTGGAAGGTGCGGTCAACTAAGTTCGTCGAGCAAACATAAAAAGAAACCCACATGTGTTGATTCTGTTTTCAAACCGACTTCAATCCCTGATACCCCTGAAAATTGTCGGTTGGTTATTATCAATTTACAACCAACGTGCAAAGATGTGGTTGCTGATTTGGTACTTCGAGTTCCTTGTGATGAACTATTTCGCGTTATTATGTCAGATCACTTGGAAATAGATGTTCCACAATATGACCACAGGCATGATCCTCTTTATTCAATCGGTCTTTCTTTATCTCCAGAAGAAGAATGCACACGTACTCGTTTGAACATCCCATTTTCTTCTGTATAATATTGTTTCAATTTTTTTCACTCTGTGGTGTACAGTTTCACATGATTTGGTTGTAGCTATTGGTTACTATTTCGTTCTTTAGACGTAGAATAAACATTTCTCTTTTGTACTCAAAACAAGAATCAGTACCTTTGTAAATAATAAGGTGTCTTTCCCTAATTAAAAGAACCTAATAGAATTACATCGTGTCATAGTAGTTTATTTGCTCTCGAATTAAACATGGATTCGTAACACCAATCGATCAGTTCCTGAATACTAAAAAGTACATTTCACTTTTGACTCTAGTTAAGATTATTTTCTTTTTTCACTCCTGATCTTTAGCCTGTCCCTTTTTTGTATGAACTTCTCTTATTTATAGTATTTTTTTCATAAGGTAGAACTAAGAGACAAAATAAATATTATCGTTGTGAACTTCGTAAAATGCTATTGATCCAATATTGAGATGTCTACTACGGGAATCGAAGTGTTTCAGGTAGAATTCTGCCGAATTCTTCGTAGTTTGAATATCAAAAACCTTGGTCGCACCGCACTAGGTATATTTTTTTCATATTTTTACTCAGTTCTATAGTTCAAGACGTTAGTTCGTTAGTGTCTTGACTATGTAGCTACGGCATCTGAAATGTTTTAGTTTACTTAATAAGTTCTTGATGTTATTGGATAATTTGTGGTTTTGTAAAATCAGCAGCTTAGTAATCAAAACACTGGTCCCAACCATAAATCTTAGATTCGAAGCCCCCTCCACCTACTTCAACTTTTACAACAGAGGTATTATTATTCCCCGTCTTCTCACACATACAAACAATATGCCTGGAAACGGAGTGAACAAACCCGTACTTGGTAGATGAATTACTTACTTTAATAATTATTTTCTTCTACGTTACATGATGAAGTGAACTATCTTAATGTCAGACGCTAAAAATGGTTTGTTTGTGTTCCATCGATTCAAGAGGTTGTAAATGGTTGCGAAAAGAAAATTTGGAGGCTGATCGTACATAGGTTCTTATTTTGTTGTTGATAGTTTTTACATTATAAACCTTTCCGCTAGCGATTGCCAATTCTAAATTGCTTACTGACAGTCTTAACCATTTCGATGATATCTTGGTAAATGTTTAAATTTCCAGTTAACAGGAATCAGTTGTATATATTTCCGTAAAATATGCCTAGTTCACACTTGTTACTTGCGTGTTTATCATGTATACATCTTGTTAACTAGTTTGCACTTCTTACATGTTTCGTTTTTTTCGGGGGTTCATATTTTTCTTAGGTTTTAAAGACAATAAATTAACAATCAGAAAGTTATAAACAAAGAATATTACTGAATATATTCATTATATAAAGGAAATATTTTTTAAAACGAAAAAAATACAGATACCTTTGACTTACAGCTTAGTGACTGTGTCATGTTAGTAGATACAAACTCCTCGATAAGGGTCGACGCGATTATCGCAACCAGTTGTCGTAGAAGTTGGGTAACATAGTTCAAGATCTGTCGCATTAATGTGGATGCATTCACCCGTTTTCTTTTATTAGACCTCAAGTTTCAAAATTACCATACATTTTATTGTATTATTCTTCAACTTTATCCTTCTCGAATCGTATTGACTGTGCCTGATCTTATCTACTACTACTGGTATTACACATTATTCTAGGATTTATCGTGATTTCATCTCGTGCTAATGTGGCGTGGTAGTTTGAACGAATGCACATGTGTCAGATTTTATTTCGCGCAATGCTGACTGATAGCTCAATGACAAATTACCAGTGATTTTTTTTTTTACCAAAATATGATCTGAACCGTTAATGTTAGGGTTATATACACTGCCGTATGTGGGATTCAGTCATGTAGGTAGGTCGCTTACAATCAAGAACTCAGTCATGATCTAGATGATATCTGGTGCTGTTAAAGGAACTACTTCATAAGTTTAACAAAAAAGCATTAACTTTGTTTTAAATTCAACTTAGATATAGTTTGATTTTGAGGTCATATTTTATATCTGTTCAGAATGAATTAAAACTTCAAAATTAAGTGTTACATTTGTATGATATGTTAAATGCAAAGTTTGGTCTGATCGTGATGTAATGTCGTTACACATACCACCTGCAATAATTTAGGTTTGTATTAGCTAATTTAACTAAATTATCACAGTATACGATAAAATAAGCAAACAGAATGTTAACATCCTGACAGAAACTGAAGGTCTATCACCAGTATTACACCAGTCTTTGGAGCAAGTCGCAATGCATCCGTGGTATAAGTCATCATCTAATTGGAATTGTCCACAGTGAGTTGGTATGTCGGTTAGTTTATCCATGGAACATCTCCGTATCAGTAAACTGGAACCGTCCTTCTGGCGAATACCCTTTATTTTTGTGCAGTAGTGGGCATAAAACAAACCTTCATGTCCAGGTATCGTTTGACGACATGGTCGTTGAATCGTGATATGAGCACTGACTGGATCCTCACATGGTGGGTTACTTTTGTTCATTGACACACAAGAATAACAGGCGATTGCTGTTGCTGTGAAGTTTTTATTAAGAGAAATGTAGCAAGTTTTTATTTTATGACATGATGGATGCGTTACACATTTTTAATTACAAAAGGAACGTTTAGGTATCGTCATTATTTTCCTTTCCACATAGTTTCTCTGGTTTTGTAGCTTTTATTGGTATTTAATTAGCTTTTTTAGTAACGAAGTATAGCTTGTTTGGTAAATTCTCAGTGCATCTTCAAGACCTACATCAGGGAATATACTGGAATTAACTGATTATCGAAGTCGGACTAATTAATTCTATGTACATGTTCATTGTGTTATCACTTAGTTTTGTTATGATGCATTAGGTCTTCTCACTAATCATCAAACTAAGGCTTCATTGCCTATTTAATCGTTTGAAAGTTGTTCACAGTGAAGTGGCGGCGAAAACACAAGTCAGCTGCAGCTATATACGTGCAACTGTTTGGATTTGTAGTGTACTAACTAAACACAAATTCTGATTGTAGTTAGTATATGTATCTTGTAATATGACTCGTTTGCCATTAATAAGTTGGCTACTTAAAGCAAGTGATACCAGTATATCATAGACTACTGTTATTCTCGTGAAGTGAAAGATCCTCCAAAAGTTACTAATGGTCAGATCAAAGCTCTGGACAACTTGACATTCGTCTTTGCTCATTTTAACTTTTTGAAGTTAAATATGTTTGTCAGAAGTGTACTAATTTTGATTAGCATCCCAAATTTTCTGGAGAACTGCACAAGCACAACATCTTGAGACAAAGTAAAGTAGTAACAGAACTTTGAAATTTCAGTAAGTTATTTCTTAAAATTGAACTTCAGAAAGAATATTGGACTATACTATTGAGATTTTTACGTTACTATAGAAATAGCTGACTTTATTACGGTACTAAATTTAGCAACAAATTGGAGCTAAATGTTCATTAAAGTAAAGCTACACCTTAAAACTTGAAATAGTTCAGTCTTATAATCTAGGCATATTAGAACTCTTATGATATGAAGCTCTATTCCACCAAAAATATAGATTTAAAATGATTCGATAATAAGTCGATAAAAGTAGAATTACATATGAAAATTTGTCAACTCACCTACATCCGCTTTACAAAATACGTAAAAAATAATCAAATGACATATTGTTACAAATGAGATTTTCTGACTACTGATTACTTTCATATCGATTCATCTTATCAAATTCCATAACATTTTAAGCTTATTAAAATAGTATAAAGTTCTTTAATATTATAAATAATTCATGTCCTAAAATATACTTTAAATGAGAAAATATTTTACTGGTTGATATCGGTCTAACTTTCATGTTGTTCTCATTGGTTAAGAACTAGTTACAATAGAATTGACAAATATCTGATTGGTAGTTTCTTTTTATTAAATATAGCTTAATTGTGGATTTGTCCATAAACAAGCATAAATACAATTTAACCATTGATTATAATGATTGGAATGTGAGATTTTGTTAATAAAATAGTATTATTTATTCTTTTTGACGAACATCTGATATTTGGAAAAGTCAATGTAGGATAAAATTGAGAAAATTCAGAGGTTTGATTATATAATGGAATGAATAAAATTTTCTTGATAGTAGTTCTTGTGGATAAAGGAGTATTTTATCTACAAATGAAGTTCAATAGTGTCTAACCCAAATTGGATGTGAAAATGTATTTTTACAGTTGTAAAGTTACAAAATGTACTTTAAAAACACTAAGAATATCTTCATCACGAAAGTTAGAAATGAAATACTTGGCAATGATTGATCTGCTTTAACCACTTATGGGATTCGTACGTTCAATTCTTAAATTATTATGTATTCAGACTACAATTAATAGTAATGGCGTACATCTTCATACTATGTTCAGTCTAGAATGTTAAATGATCTAATTTCTTTCACTTACGTACGCCTCTATTTACGTATTAATTAGCGTAGATTCTGTTTCACTAATTGTATTTTCCTTACTGTTTTGTTATTATTGTAGTATTAGAAAGTTTAACGGATTGAATTATCTCCATTTAGAGTTTCAAGGTTCATTTTCTACTAAATAACTAATCAGTCAATTATTAAACACAGAGTTCATAATAGATATCAGTGTATTTATACATAAATAAATTTTAGTAGGAATATTTGTTCAAATACAATAATTAATATACAGATATTTACAGTACAATGCAGAGTAGATAAATTAAGAAAGTACCTAATACGAGGAAATTCCAAAACGAAATAAATAACAACGTAGAAATCCGGGCTAAAAGTGCGAAAAATGTTTTATCACAGTATAATTTTGCGGGATAAACTATTGTACACGTATTCTGTAGGTATTTAAAAAAAAGAACAGACTAAGAAGTAAGGAAAGAATGAAATTATGTAAATTATTCCGTTTATTAAATAAATAACAAAATCAAGTGAAAATAAACAACAGAAGTGATGAAAAGAATGAATTAGACGGGTAGAATTTTACCGGATTGACATCGCAGAATGAACAAATTATGAATTAAGTATCACCACTTTTTATTGTTTTAATTTATTCACGAGTATATGAAATTTTGTAAATAAATGCAGAGGTGGTTACTGAAAATGGTATTCAGTAGTATAGAATAAATTGAAAAATATTCAGCAGACTTTATGCCATTATTTTGTTGATTTTGGTGGAAATTCATCATTTTGTTTCATCCTTGTAAAACCATTAGTCAAAGTAGATTTAGGTATCACGATCAAAGGATCAAGTAGTCGTTTAACGTTGGTGAAATTTTTTTCCAACTCTTTATGATATTCTATCTGATCAGAACCGATTAATGATTCATTTAGACGGAGAGCTTCATATGATCTATAATTAGGAATGGACAAAGGTGTAATAAAGAAAAAGCGAGTCAGCAAATTCTGTAAAAGTGGTTGCTAGTTCTAGAAAAGAACAACTTCACAAAACAACTGTCAGCACAGGTTTTTATAAAGTTATTTTTTAAGAACACGTCAATATTGGTTACAAATGTAAGACAGGGAATTAAGCTTAAAACAATTGACCTATATCTTATTTCCTTAAATACTGTTGAGTTTTTTAGATGATAGTTTAGCTTAACAGTATATATATATATATATATATATATATATATATATATATATATATATATATATATATATATATATATATATAACTGCTTAATAGCAGTTAAGTCTGGTTTGACCAGCCTAGCTTAAACACTGTGTTGTGTGTCTGTAAATGAACTTCTTTGACGTTAGCCAGATGTAAAATCATCAGGATACAATTCGTTTCTCGATTTTTGTGCTTGTATGAAGCGTCTCATAAATATCAAGACTGAACTAGTACACTTACAAACTATGAATAAGAAGCTATCGAGTCAGTGTATGGAGTATCCTGTATAGAGGAATCACATATCTATGGATGAGTTTCTTTTTATATTCATAAATGTGTTGTACCATAAAGAATAGCGACCTATTGAAAGAAGCAGTCAACTTGGAATATATATTCACAATACTTTCCAGTGTGATTTAGTTGGCTACTAATTAACTTTATTATTCTTGCAGTTCATTCACCGAAATGAATTTTTAGTCATACGGATTGATTAAAAAGCTGTTTAGACATATAAGATCTGTGTTTTTTTTGTCTGAGGGAGCTATTTTAATCAAGCAATTTAACTGTTAATACTCTATTGACGATAGCAATATATACTAAGCTCTCATTTTTGCTTCAAATTACAAACACACCTACATATTTTCATAGTACTTTTTGTTAAAACGTACACATTTATAAATGATGGAGTGAAAAATTACTTTATAAGAAATTGTTGAAAAGTTATCCTAAGACGATTTTGTATATCTTCATATGTAGTGGAATTCAATGTTGTAGACGACTTATTCTTATCGGGAATTAATGATTTTAATGGTTTATTTTTTTCATGTCCCAAAAAAGTTGTTGCCATTTCAACAGGTCCTTGGTTGACCACAGTTCCGATGCATCCCTGAAAGAAAAAAAGCGTAATTATCGTTATTCCCGATGAAATCTTACGAATTAAAACAAAAACAAACAACATGTTGTAGTAGTAGATTAGTGAAAACCTTACAGATAATACAGATCGACATTGTAAGTTGTCACTTTTGTTAATGAGCGCTATGTCTTAGCATCGTAACTTCTCTTAAATATCCACTTCTAGCAATAGTTTGCCATATTTAATTATTATACAAAGCAGTCATATTATTTTTGCAAAATATCCAAATGCATTATATATTTTTGTGTCCGCTGTTATTATCAAACAATAGTTTACTGTAGTGATGCCCATGGACAATTTAGTGGGTATCCGTTTAGTGATTTTTAAAACTTGATTTGTGAACAAGTGTTATCAAAGTTTGTTTCTTTAAAATTTTATTCATGTTTAACGTGATTATCAGTACTACATAATACTGTTTCTGTGTACTGTAAAATATCTGGTATTGTAGTGCGACCCGAAATCTGACTCCGATTAGATCGGACGAATGATTGCTATGGAAATGTACATGCCACCAACCCTTGTATGTAGTCATCGACTTAAATCACGTTAGAGAACAAAGGAATTAAATAAGTCCATTACGAGAATGGATTTAGAATACGTATATTTCATACAATCGTTGATCCAGACTAACAATCAGAAAAACGAAGCGAATCGGAGATGGCATGTGAACCAACTCGATCTAACCAAGGTTGAATCGATATTTATAGTCAGACAAAAAGAAGTTGCAGATTCATAATGAGTAGGGTAGATAATTAACACGCAATCATATAAAAAAACAGTCAGGACTAATAGGCGAATAAGTGACAAGGTAAAAATGTGGCTTGAGAAGAATGAATAGGTTTGTCAGTCCAGAAGCTAGAATAAACTATGTGGGCTTGAAATAATATCAGCCCCTACAGTACAAACACATTTCCCCTTGTGTAGTTATCATTAAAAAAAATACGACATATCAACTACAGCCTGTTTTCATTGTTACTTCCGTCAATAAAAAGGACCCTCAACTGGTATTTTACAGAGCTATTTCTGATCATCCAATAACTATTGGACCTTGAACTGTTTTTTCTTTTGCAAATCACTTACCAATACACGTTTAGGTATTCAACTCTGATCAACCTCTCGCTCTATACCAAATATGGAGAATCTTGCACAATGAAAGAAAAATATGACAATAATTATAAGTTTACAGTTCTAGAATGTAATAATGCAAAATACATTTTATGATTAGAGTAGTTTGTTGAAATACAAAATGCAGAGGTCAGTTATCTAGAGAAATGTTGAACATAAATTTATTAATTAAATTAGCTAATTTTTAGGCAAACTACAAAATCTATATACACACTAGTAATCACGGAAATTTTTTAATTGAAATGAAATTTGAATGAATCACAACAACCTACTTGTAATAACATTTGTAAATATTTGACGTCAGGTGGTTCTGTTGTTAATACTCGATCTAATTGTTCAACTCGATGTGTTATATCTTCTAAAGCAACTTCAATTGGGGTCAGAGTATGCGATTCAGTTGATACAACTAATAAACGTGTCTTCATATACGGAAAACATCGGGATGTTGTTAGGATGTACTTTCGTTTGTATTGTGTACTTAAACTACCATGAGCCTGTCCATCAATTGTGAACGGTAGAGAAAGAACAAATCGCTCTGAAAAAAAGCAGTAGTAAAATCCCTTCACATTAAAACACTAACTTTTGAAGTAGCACACTAAAAATAGAAATGTACCAACTATTCAGTAAATGAATTCCAATCTACTTACATTAGGTAAATACTGTGTTTATATTGTCGTATGGAAAGGAATTAAGTTTAGTTCATTAAGAAATAATTGAAGAGATTTTAAGGAGAAACAGTACAACAAAATATTCAACTACAAATAGATTGTTAATAATTGTTTAAGATAAAATATTAGAGAAAGTAGCATTGTCAAATCGTTCTTTTTCTTAAACGTTTTTTTTGTCTTGTTTAATTAATCAACCTTATTCACATGTAATCTGTAAACATATTTCTTTGATCCGTACACTAAAAACAGGGAAAGTCTACTTTACCCCTATGGTATGTAGACTATTTAACGCCATACAATAAGTGAGATTGTGAATAGAAAGAATCAGGAAGATGAGTGTAGTAGAGAAAAACAGCAAAATAATAGGTA